AACTAAAAAAGTATCACAATACACAGATATACATTTTTGGCAGACTCCTATTTGCTAATATGATCAAAACTATTCAATTTCAAGTTCAGTCAGGCCATGCATTCTAACTCCGCTCTGTAGATTCTACGTCTCACCGAATCCTCGTCTCCCATATGAGCAATGTACCTGCTGCTGTTTAAGACTTTCAAGAGCACTCCAGGTAATTCTACTCAGCTAATACCCAGGCTCTACGGATTAGCAATACACTTTTCATTCTCTAAGTGCCCCTTTGAAGTTCTACCTTTTTTTCTTGCTCAATCAAAGTCAAGAATTTTGCGCTTTTGTGTTTATGCGCTCTCAAGAATGTGTGAAAAAAAAGAGAGAGGAGTAGAGGGAGGAAAGACGAAAGAGGAGAATACTTTTGCAGCCTTGGTTCTAAAATAAGCCATGGTTTAGCATTAGGCATGAGACGTCCCTTGGCTGGGTGCTGTGCTCTCCTCTCTGCTTGTGTTTACCTCCACGGGAGATCTGGGGGGACCCTTTATCAGTACTGAGCAGCTTTCTGGAGCCTGACTACCCCTGCTTCCCTCCCTCTTTCCGTCTCTCCATCTCTCCTTCTTTCCCTCCCACTACGCCTCTTTCTTTTTGTGCGGAGGAATGCGAGGAGGACCAGGGCTGATGCTGATAATACACAGGGATAGTGGTCAGACATAGCTTTTCCTATTTCCAGGCTCGGAGCGAAATGGGAGTACAGGTGGTTTCGCTTTGTTGGGTTGTGGTTTGAAAATGGACTTGAGTGAGCTAGTCTGCTGTTTGGTTTGTAATAGGCCAGTTTTTAATATTTTTTTGTATATTTAAAGGTCCTATATTTAGTGTCGTAGTACTCGAGACCTGTCTTTTGCAGTCTTGGTCTCGTCTCTGACTTTGGTCTTGAAGGTGCTTGGACTTGGTCTTATCTCGGTCTTGAAGACGCGTGGACTCGGTCTTGGCCTGGTCCTAAAGTTGCTTGGACTCGGTCTTGTCTTGGTCTTGAAGGCTCTTGGACTCGGTCTTGTCTCGGTCTTGAAGGCTCTTGGACTCGGTCTTGTCTCGGTCTTGAAGGCTCTTGGACTCGGTCTTGTCTCGGTCTTGAAGGCTCTTGGACTCGGTCTTGTCTCGGTCTTGAAGGCGCTTGGATTCGGTCTTGTTTTGGTCTTGAAGGCTCTTGGATTCAGTCTTGTTTCGGTCTTGAAGGCGCTTGAATTCAGTCTTGTCTTGGTCTTGAAGGCTCTTGGACAAGGTCTTGTCTTGGTTTGGAGGTCCGACACTTGACGAGTGATTAAGTGGAGATAGATTTGTAAAAACATCAATGTATATGTGCCAAAATAACTGTAAAATACAAATAAATGTTGAAAATTACATTCTTGGTCTTGTCTCAGTCTCGACCCTCAGAGGTCTTGGTCTTGTCCTGGTCTCAGGACCCTATGGTCTTGGACAGGTCTTGGTCTCTGATTGGTACGGTCTTGACTACAACACTACCTGTATTAAAGGTGTATTGTGTAACTTTTTAGTATGCCACATTTGTTGTTTTTAGGGACACGTTATTGCTTTGCTTGGTATGTTCCACAGTATGCCATTAAAAGCTGATTCAGCCTTTGTTTTATTAAAGGTGATTTAGAAGTACTGATCTGTACTTTTATCCACTTGTCTCCATGGAGATAGCTATGTTAAATGCCATACTGTGAAACATTCCAGGCTGAACAGTTAAGTAAAGCTCAAAATGCTCTGTTCGACCTTGTCATGAAGTGGCAGTTTTCAGGTTAACAGCTCCTTTTTACCTTGCGTTTAGCAGACTGGCAATTCCAGGTCTGAAATTATCCAAATCATTCTAGTGAAGGGGTATGGAGTTTAAAAACACAGTGGACCAGTGTGTGTTTTCCGTTTGGGAAAAGAATTCAGCCAAAGTATGCAGAATTTGTGCATTAAACATGTGTGAATGAAACAAAACACAACGTTATGTATGTTTGTGATAAGGAAACAACATTATAAATAGATCAGAAAATAGCATAATGTGGGCCGTTGTAATTTCTAATATTACTAGCAAATCAAAAGTTAATATTTTTTCCTGATTAACTTAATTTTTACATGCAGTTCTATCTTAAACTATAAGTAAATAACCAGTATATATACCACATCTTTGTCAATAGTGTCCTTCAAAATGTACACATCGATTGGAGGCAAGTGCACTGAGTAAATCCATTGCACACAGCACTATAAGAATGAAGAGGTTTCATGGCCATAGAAGTGCAATTATATATTTTTACAGTCATAAAACTTACTCTTGAAGGACTCAATATTTCTTAGCGCTGAAGAAATATTTGCTCCACTGGTCTCCGTCCTGCTGTTAACCTTGACAGTGACGCATGTTTCTTTAAAGCAGCTAACTCCGGTTGTCCTTTTCCAGTTGTGTTGAATTATTTTTCTCATTGCTAACTTTTCCTCAACTCGGTGTGAAGTGGCTGCTGCTGTAGCCCTGTCACAGTAATAAATTTTGAAGTGGATATATAGCTGAAATATATACAGACGATAAACAGTAATGCAACTATTTTATACTACTGATGTAATAGCCCAAGAGCAGATTTAAAGGTGCAGTGTGCAACTTTTCTGGGGGAGGTTAGAGCAAAACAGTGCGGCACGGGACACATTTTAAAAGCTCATTGCAAATGAAATATGAGTGTAAAGTAAAATATACAAATGATTAATTTATGCCTGTTATACATAATTTGTAGGGATGTAACAATATCCAAATCTCTTGGTACGATATTATCACGATATGCATCTCACGGTACGATATTTGTTGTGATATTCTGGAGAATAATGTTAATATAATTGTAGATAGGACACTTTTTTGCTTTCAAAATACCTTGACAAGATTTTGGTGTGAATTATTTCCATCATAATCCCAAGAATTCAAGTAAAAAACATATTTCTTCATGTTGTATGCACTCATTCATTTCAGTGCATACAACATGAAGAAATATGTTTTTTACTTGAATTCTTGGGATTATGATGGAAATAATTCACACCAAAATGAATCATGGGATATGTAGTCTCTATGTTCATAAACTGTTGCTACTATAAAACAATGCATTTAAGCAAAGGTTCGATATATTGTGACAGCTTACGATATTATTGTTGACTTTTGACGAAACGATATCACGATATTTCGGTTATTGTTACATCCCTAATAATTTGTGCTGGATATTTTATTTGGCATTAATAATAAACATTTTAAGCAGCCTAAATTTGCAGACGTGGTCTAGTCTCGCTCACATTTTAGACAATTCCTTAACGCTTTTCTGTTTTTGATAGAACTTAAGAAAGCGAACATACTCATCTTGCGGGATTTGCAGGCAGGAGCGGGACTGAAAATTACAATTCTTTGTGGTGCCGGCGAGAGCGGGACTGAAAATTCTATCCCGCACAGACCTCTAGTGGAAGGTCCGCCACCTGCTTGTCTCCAAGGAGATGTTCCACAGTATGGCCTGAAACAAATATATCTTGTATTTATTCAGTTAGTGTTTTTATTTTTCAAAACTACAAACCTGCATTATTTCTGTGAGCGCTTCCACTTCTTCACAGATCTGACCTGTAACTTGGCCTACTTGTCTCCATGGAGTTTGTTAGTTCTTGTTGGAGATTGTTGGAAAGAACGTTTTAGTTTTTCTTCATATTGACTTATTCACTTTTTATTTGTTTTCATTTTGATCCTATATTTTCCCTGTACTTATTTATTGATTTTATTATCTTATTTCTTTCTTTCTGCATTTTATTTTTCCTCTGGAGACAATGGCAAGAGGGGGTTGGGGGTAACAGAAAGGTTAGGGAGCGCTCCTGCTTTCATATATTCAAGTCAATATAATAATTATCGTGACAGACTTTTGCTCCTGCTACCATCACAGCTTTTCCTTTAGCTTTTAACCCAAAGAAACAAATCATAACAGCAAAGACGGCGCCCCAGAGGCCCTCCACGCCCTTCAAACAGTCTGCGTAAAGGCACGCTTCCTTGTTCGGGGTGTCATCTCTGTCACATCTGTCACACTGCAGCACCTAGTCAGCTCTGTAGGATACAAACAGCCCGCACACAGCTGACAAGACCAGAACTTGTTTTAACAAATGTCTGCTTGTTTCTCTCCTCCTCCTCCTCCTCCTCATTCTTACAGGACTACATTCATACCATAATCCATACAACTGTGCAACAACTCTCCCTTATGTAACAAATAACCCCATGTCAATCACTTTTTCATCTTTGCTCAGTTTTCTCCTTACAACCTCTATATAGCTGAGAGATATATTTGTATTACTTGTACATATACATTCATTTACTTATGCCTTATTTGACACTAGTCTCTTGTTATTTTTGCTACTTATTTAGAACTATGTATTACTACTGTGTCCAAATAATTATTTCTTTTTTTTGTTTTTTTACTTTCATGTCCTCCACCTCATTTACATATATAGACTTTAGTCTTTTGCAACTTATTTCGAATTATTACCATGTTTTAAGGCTGTGCGATTAATTGAATTGTGATCGCGATTTCGATTTGTGTGTCGAACATTCTCCAAACTCACATAATCGAGTTGAAATTTTGGAAGCATTTATGTTTTTCTATGCCTTATTTTATGTTCAAAGTATATTTTATACATTTTATGTTTTATACATTGCTCCAAAGTACATATTTGTAGACTGTATTTATTTTCAATTTGAAAGTTTTGCATGAATTATCAATAACAAACTGGGTTTTTTTGGAGAAGGAAATGCTGAACCAATGCATTGTGTAACTAAAAAATAATCGTTTGAATAATCGTGATTTCAATATTGACCAAAATATTCGTGCTAATGATTTTTTCCATAATCGAGCAGCCCTACTATGTATATTTTTCCTCTTTGTCATTAATATACTGTGATGTGTGAGCCACTTTGCCCAAATAATAAGTCTCTTCTTCTCTTTCTCCTTCTCTTTTTTCTCTTGTTTTTCTAGCAGAGTGCAGAACTTTAATGGCGTCCCGGTAGAGACTTGAAGATGAACACGTTACCGTCCATGGACCGGCACATCCAGCAGACCAATGACCGGCTGCAGTGTATCAAACAGGTGTGGGATTCTCATTATGTGAACCAGAGTCTAGGGCCTTTGTTAGGCTATATGTTACAGATGTTTGTGAAAGGCCTATTTTAAATCCAGATGTGTAAGTGATTTTCATGTCTGCTTCTATATCCTCTTGCACTGGTGTAGCTCTCACTGAGGGACACATAAGGAAAGTGTAAATATAGTATACATCTGCTTTGGAAAGAAGGTTTAAATGTGCACTATGTAACTTTTTGGTTGGGTTCCGTCACGCGCTTGTTGCTATGGATATGTCACTGCTTTGCCTGGAATAATCGACAGTGTGACATTAAACAGCTCTGCCGTTACATTTATTCAATTGCTGGTGGTTTTCTAGCTCAAATTAATGAGAAAACGCAGACATTCTGACTGTGAGCGGAGTCGCCTCTCTACAGATCTGACCTGTAACTTGGTCTGGTTTGGTCTCCATGGCAATAGAAAGGCTTAATACTACATTGAGAAACAAAATCCAGACAAAGCAATAGCATCTCCAGAGAGAAAAGCATTTGACTGTCCCTCCAAGAAAAGTTACACAATGCACCTTTTTAAGATAATGCTATAAATTAGTGCTTACAAAATACGTATTTAACTATTTATTCTTTAGCATTTATCAATTAGTCATGAATACGGTTACCCAGATATATCCCAATCGATACACAAGGCAGCATAAAAAGTAGATTCGCATTTCATTGACCTTTCCGAAATAGTTTTACCTCCTGGTTCTTTAAGGTTATTTAATTAAGTAAGCCTGAATCATTTTAATCATTATAATAAACTATTTCTTCATTATAACTTTGTTCAGGCTAAATTAGTAGTAGTAGTAGTAGCAGTAGAAGTAGTTTTTATTCGGTCATTTTGCAGCACTACAAAACAAAACAAAAAGATAGACTACAAACCCATGGATCATGACCGAAAGAGTTTAGGCTGCAATAAAAAGTATTTCTAGTGCCTGACTCTATTAAACAATGACAGAATTCCAAGAAAGACAAGCAGCATATGAACAGCAAATTCGCATTTACAATTTCACTTGAGATTTACTGTACATAAGAAACAAAATATAAATTAAAACAAACAAAACATTGCTTTATACTCTTTTTTTAAAGGCTTCTACAGTGTTACACTTTTTAAAAATCATCACTGAGATTGTTCCATATCCTAACCCCTCTAACAGAAATAGAATCACTTTTTTCTTCTAAAGTGATACTCAAACTTCTTTTAAGAAGTCTACTCAATAAATTCCTTTGCACATCATGCATTTTGTTATAGCACAAGTGTAATAGGATGACAGCTGCTCACAGACATTTAAGGTCCTATAACGTTGTGTGTTAAACATGTGTGAATGAAACAAAACAGACAATTCTCCAGTTGCTGCATAACGCAAAACCTACAGAAGATCTGCACGTCAAATTAAACATCGAATTATAATCCCTAACAGGTCTTCACTATCTGCTGTGGACCGTGGTCAGTAGCTGTTTTCCACATTCTAATCCAGCCGTTCCAACCAGTTACCCAAACCCTTCTAGATCTCTCAAATGAAAATCGCAATGTGTTTTTCTTTCTTACACACCCATCTCCTTTCTCATCCCCCCTTCCCTTCCTCCTCTCCCCTCTCTTCCCTTTTATGGGCATCAGTTTCTCTGGCCATTAGCTGCAGTCACACAGATCATGTTGCACTGGGTCATAGCCGGAGAGAGGGAGAGAGGGAGACAGACATAAAGAAAGAAGAAAATCTGGCGTGGAAAGCTATAGCCGAGACTTCAAAAGAGGCTTCCAGCGCTGCGGCAGACTGCACTTTCCTCCCCCCCTCACACAGCCCCTCCCACCCCGAGCATCGCATCATGGCTCCTGACGTACGGCCGCTCCTTGTTGTGGTTAAATACTTCCTGGACTCGCCATTGCCAGACTGATACAATTTTAGGAGAAAGACAACAGAGACATGACCCAGGGCACCCGCCTCTGCCCGCCTCTGCCCACCTCTACTCGCCCATTAAAAGTCTATGAGAGGTGACATGACTGGCATGCTGTGGGCGACGCGTGGGTGTGAGGTCTTATATCTCCCAACAACCACACGACGCCAGGATGTATCAGAAGCATTTGAACGCCACGGGACCTGCAGCAAAAGTGAAGAGATGTGCAGCTGGAGTCAGAAGGATTAGATGGAGGGTTTGGTGTGTGGGGACTGGCCTGATCGTACATACTGTATATATGCCCTAGTATAAGACCATATATATAATACTTATTTAATATAATACTTATATAATAATTAGTTGATACTTAAAGGTTATCTCCCTGTAAAGGAATTCTTTTCACTGTCACTGAGTGTAATAGTCTTGCCAAAGTCTAGATTGAAGACCAAGACATTAATAAATGGCAATGTTTTTATAAGCTTGGCAGCTCTTGTTTAGCTATCACTGGCTAATTCTTTTCAAAGGTGTCAGTGGTAAGCTCTATAAAAGCCTGTGCTTACACATCTGGCCTAATAACTGCTCTCATTGTCATTTGGTTTATACTCTTTGCTGTGCAGTTCCAGAGCTCAGAGTGCAGCTGACTTCAAAGGCACAGTTAGCAGTGAGCTGGGAGCCAGCAGGGTGTTGTTTTGGTTTGGGGAAAGCCTCTGGCTCAGAGCCAGCTGCTCTGCTGTTTTTCATGGAGCAGGTAGACACGCGAGAACAGCCTGATCCAAAGCAACCTGAAAAAGCACTAAGCTGGCCCGTCATCGCTGACGACAGTCTGTCATGTGTCTGGATGTTTGAGTCCCTGCTCCCCCCTCTCTGCACTCTGTCCTTATCCAACCCTGAACACAACAACAAGAGCAGCTCCTCTCTGCAGTCCCTGTCCTCCCCCTCACACTGGAGCTGTCAGCCTGAGTGTGGCAGTGCGCACAGAGCTTACAGACAGCCCCTGCTGCGCCGCCTGTGTCCCCTCACAGTCCCCTCACACGTGAGGCCCTCACACTGCCCATCAAGCAGCAATAACATAGATTATATCAGCGCTCAAGAGCAGCTCCTCTCACTCACCACTGCTCCTCTTCATCACTCTCAGCGGAGCCAGGTCCAGCGCTAACTCTAAGAAGCCTAATCTCTTCATCACAAAAGACAAGTGACTCTCTTCAAACTCATGATATCATTGGGCCTCTCTGCAGGCAGTCCACTATCCTGTCATGTTAGCCTCTTTTGTCATACACCACCAATAAGCTGGTCTTTTCAGAGTACTCACCTCTGCTGGCCCCTAAAGACAATAGGCCTACCTTCTGTCACAAAACAAGTGGCTTTAGCTCCTGATGAGAATAATAAACGCTTTCAAGTGGGCTCAGTCTTGCCGAAAAGAACACGGCGGAGCTCTGCGGACATTTCGTAGCTATTAACCTCGTGAGGAGAACAAAAAAAGCACCCAATTTTAAAAACCTGCATTATGTCCAGCCAGGCCCAGACGCCCTCAGACAGTGGGAAGAAAAGAGGGGACTGTTTCAGGCTTGAGTGCACAAGAGCAGGAGCCTCAAAGAGATTAGAGAACACACCAGCGGCCATATTGAACCCGCCGCACAGAGCTGCCAGAACCAAGGTTAGCTTCTTTGTCGACGCCAAGACGACCAGCAGACTTCAGCGCCCCATGAATGAGACGGAGAATTGGAGGGAAAAGATCTGGTTCATTGGGGAGTTGCCAAAAGAGATTAACAGGAAACACTGGCATCATTGTTGACATGTGGAGTGATCTTCTACCCACAATGCAATGCAAACCGGAGTGGGCGGACATGAGAGAGACTTGAGGTCCTTGCAGGGTTGTGCTGAAAAACAACAAATTAGCGCAAGTTGGTTTAGAAAGCAACACCAAACGAAATCGATTTGGGTGACTGTTTTTTTGTTTTTTTCTTAATAATGTGTGTGTTGTAACAGTGTAATTGCCCTACAGTTACAACTGAGGTTAAGCACAGTTAAAAGTGCCCATATTACGCTATTTTCAGATCCATGTTTTTTTCCTCAGTACAAAGATACAAATTGTAACTGTTTTAAAATTTTTTTTTATCAGATTTAATTTCATTTTTTCGTTTTCTGTTACAGTCTTCCCTCGCTATATCGCGGTTCACCTTTCGCCGTCTTGCTGTTTCGCAGATTTTTTTTTGTGTGTAATTTTGCTTTTTTTTTTTTTTAAACAGCGTATGAATGCATATTGCGTATTACGGGCGGTAGTAATTACACACGGGTGGGTCAGGACTAAACCAGATCTAAACCAGGACTAATATTGGATTTAAGAGAGAGAACCCCGAGCAAGGTGTCCGCAAAACGTGATTGTGCGGTGTTGTACTGCGCGGGTGCGATGCTGTATTTCGTGGGTGCTTTTCTGTACTGTGCGGGTGCGGGTCTTCAAAAATGTACCCATGCAGGACTCCATTACGGAATAAATGAAGGAGGAAAATAACATAAGGACGACAGCCGCAATACTTGCGGTTAACAGCAGCAATACGTGTGGTTAACCGTCCTGTCTGAGAAAAGTTTTTAAAAAAGTGTGTGGTGAGGGGTTTTACAGACTTAAGACAGATATAATCACTGTAAAATATAAAGTTGACTACTTCTCGGATTTCACCTATCGTAGGTTATTTTTAGAACGTAACCCCCACAATAAATGAAGGACCACTGTACTTAACTGAATACGATTCTATAGTATTAAAGTTGCACTATGTAACTTTCTTGTTGGGGTTCGTCACCTATGGATATGGATATGTCCTTGCACTGCCTGGAATGTCCCACAGTATGACATTAAACAGCTCTACTTTCCTTTTAAACTTCCTATAAAATTACATGTGGTTTTATGACTCACAAATACCTGCAAAAACAGGTATTCTGACTGTGTGCAGAGTTGCCTCTCCACAGATCTGACCTGTAACACGGTCTGATTTGGTCACCACGAAGCTAGAAATTGCTTAATACCATACTGTGAAACATTCCAGACAAAGCAATAACATCTCGATGGAGAAAAGCGTGTGACGAACCCTCCACCAGAAAAGTTACAAAATACACCTTAATTTCGTCATTGTTTACTTTATCTTACTGGTATCTTTGTTGTTTTTGCAGCACTTACAAAACCCGGCCAACTTCCACTCGGCGGCTACAGAGCTGTTAGACTGGTGTGGAGATCCCCGGGCCTTCCAAAGACCTTTCGAGCAAAGTCTCATGGGATGTCTGACGGTGCGTAAACACCAATTATGTGTTTTAGGTACTTTTTTAGCACCAAAACAGTAATTAAACAGAAAGAAATATGAGCTGTCCACTTCAATGTGTTTTGTTCTAGCCTAGACAGTGACAAAAAAAAAGGCTCACCAGGCATTTTGTTTGCGCCAGATAATTTAGGGAGTCCACTAGTTGTGCAAAATCAAAAGTCTGGACACACCAACCCATCCAATGCTTTTTTCTATATATTTACTACTGTCTACATTTTATACACATGCAATATTTAGTAAAGAAAAAGATAAATAAGTCAAAGCTAAGAAGAGAAAAAGAGAATTTAGTATAAAATATAAAAATATATATTTAGTTAGTAGAGTTATTTAACTTTTTGTGAATGGTAACTTCTAAATGTTACTATTTTGCTTAGAACGCTCCACACTTTGGCATTAAACTTATCTTTCTCCATGGAGACAAGTCACTGAGCCATGTTATGGGTGAGATCTGTGGAGAGGTCGGTCTGTAAGAGGAGTAAAAAATTGCATTTGTTTATGATATATTGGATACTTGGACAGCTGTAATTGAAAAAATGTAACATAAATATGTTTAATGCTGTGAAACATGCAAAATGGAGATGGTCACCCACCAGAAATGTTACATAATGCACCTTTATTTTCTTATTTTTTATTTAATGCCTTAACTGAGTAGAAAGATAGTATACAGTACTTACTTTTAGTCTCCAGTTTAGACTTTCAATTTGTGCTGGAGTTAGGGCTGAAATAATCCACATGATTCTAGTGAAAGTTTATGACATTTAAAACACAATGGAGCACTTCCTGTATTATCACATGACATCACAAGGTGGAACAAAGTGCTTTCCTTTTGACAGACCTTAATCTATTTCCAGGATGTGCGCGTTAAACATGTGTAAATGAAACAAAACACAACTCCATGTATGTTTTTGATGAGGAAATAACATTAAAAAATCACATCACATCATAAAATAACGTAATATCTGCCCTTTAAGCTAGTTCCTACATCTTTATCGTTTTATTTCCTGGATACGTACACAACCCTTTTGATTTGTGTCAGTTACAGCCGCACTTGTATTGAGCGCTTAGCCCGGCCAGCTGCTCAGTCCGCTTGGGTTCACCGGCAGAGGTTAAAGTCCTTGTCACCGCCGCACACACCAGAGTCCCAGGCTTAAACAGGGCTGCGGGGAGACGCTCACCTCTGGCTCTCCCTTTTCACTTCACTAGCTACTACCGCGCATCGATCGGGGGCACAGGGCAGCAAGAGGTGGCAACGGCAAATCCACCCCAGTGCTGTGATCCAGGCTGGGAGAAAGAGGGCACCCCTGAGACCTTGAGTTTGAAACAGGATTCTATTGGGAAAGACATACGTGGCGGGGGCTAAGTGCACTGTTCATTTTTGGGTTTTACACAGAGTTTGGGTGATTCTAGGCAAGGCGAGTTTATTTGTATAGCTCAATTGGCACACAAAGTCATTCAAAGTGGTTTAAAGAATAAGAAAGACATTAAAATGACAATACAAACAAATCAAAACATAAATAATCATCATAAAATTTACATAAGAAAAAGAGTGCAAAATAAAAGCTTTTCAACCATATGTACAGCTTTTTCTTGTATATTCTACTATATCTGAGTGCAGTACAAGTACATGTGGTATTAAATTGAATACTTAGTAAAATATTTTGCTATAAATATTGGCTATAAATGTTTGGCTTGTACTGAATTATAACTGCACAGTAATTATACAATATTACAATGTATTTTCAGTTTACCAGATAAATTATTTAGTATTTCGTACAGTATGTGGATTTTTAAAAAAGCATGAAAGCCTCTAAAATAAAAATAAATAAATAAAAATTAAATTAAATGTGAATTATATAAAGTTTCAGGAAGGAAATAAATGACTATAATTTCTACAATATGGCATAAAATTAATCTTTCTCGCATTCAGACAATTACAGATGTTTATAAAAAGATAATTTGTGCGTACTTAATTATAGATTTGACCTGTATAGTTGTTAATTGTCTCCATGGATATAGATAAGTTTAATGTGATAATGTGGAAAATTTCAGGATGAGCAACAACATCTACATGGAGACTCTACCAGAAAAACTTATATAGTCCACTTTTATGTATAATTTTATAACATTATGGTCGCCTCTGCACAGATCTGACCTGTAATTTGGTCCGGTTTGGTCTCCATGAAGATAGAAAGATGAAAACCTTCCAGACAAAGCAATAACATCTCCATGGACAAAAGCATTTGACTGGCCCTGCACCAGAAAAGTTACACAATGCGCCTTTAAACTTCACAATGCATTATTCACAAGCGCCCTCTCCAGCCTTTTACATCTGGTTTCTGTGCCAGGTCTAAGTGGGGACTAAACTCTCCTCCTTGAACATTTTACTCTAATGCAGTGGTAGTGTGAGCAAACAGATAAACTCCCATTAAAGTGTAAATGAGAGGAAGCTCCTTACAGGCTGATAAAGAGCTATACAATAGACTCTAGATCTCTCAGCATGGGGCCCCCGCTATCTGCCTAACTGCCCCATCTGACTCACTCTTCTCTTTATCCTCATACAATTACAGCTCGCAACAAGTTTGGGCATTCTTTATAGGATTAAAGTGTGTATGACAGATTTTTATGATTCTCTCATTTTGACTTAATTTGATGGGATTATAACTATTGTAAATATAAATTATAGTTTTACACCAATCAAGAAGCAATTTGTGAAGAAAAGTTGAAAAATATATTGAAAATTACAGGAAGCAGAGAGTTTTAAAACAATCTGATGACATCGCACTAGGGAGAATTTTGTCCGTAAGTTTTTACCTGTAAGCGATCACTGTTTTTGATATTTTAAATATGATTTCAACAAAATAAAGGTGTTTTCTTATATTTGTATTTGTCAGATAATAATTTCTGTGTACAATAGAGGATTTTTTCTAGGTAACAGTTATGGAATTTCCTAACCAGGCTGGCGCCACCTAGTGCCTCCGCTCAATTTAATTTCTCTCCAGCGACTAGGTCAGAAATCAGAATACACTAGATGGTTCGCAAAACCCCCAGAAGTGCAAGTTCAGGCAATAGCCAATCAGCGAAGAGCCATATATTCAGTGTTGTCAACGATTCCCAAGATCGAGGATTTAAAGCTGGAACAAAGAGAATGTTTGGTGAATTTCATCAAGGGGAAAGACGTTATTGTCCTTCTTCCTTTGGGATTTGGGAAAAGCTTAATATACCAGTTAGCCCCGTTGGTGGCGCATTACATATGTCACGACCAAAGAGCAACGACTGGATAAATGATAAAAAGTACCCTCCTGTACACTGCGAAGTCAGACGGTTTCTACGTAGTGAAACTGAGGGATAAATCAGGCTAGGAATTCCCTCGAGTGATGTCACAATTTCAAACAAGGAAGTGAAATTTTAACCGTAACAAACTACCAAACTGCAAAAACAAGTGTGAATGTTTTTGCAAAAAATCTGAAATATAATGAACTTACTGTGTTTTAGTGAACTGAGTAGTCCAACCCATCATAGGCACTTTAAGCCCTAAGAAGTTACTATATTCTGAGTAATGAAATGGTTGAAGAAAGGGGGTGACAGTTACCATGGAAACGCAATGCACACATCCAAAAACACAGATTAGATTGTGTGAAAACTCAAGAAAAAATACAAAATGTATTTAAAGGTGCATTGTGTAACTTTTTTGATTGAGACTGTGTCAAATGCTTCTCTCCATGGTGATGTTATTGCTTTGTCTGGAATGTTTCACAGTATGCTATTAAACCTTTCTATCACCATGGAGACCAAAGCAGGCTTTAAAACCACTTGTAATTGAATACATGTTAAGAAGAGCTGTCTAATTTCATATTGTGGAACATTCCAGGCAGGGCAATGACATATGCAAAGAAACAAGCAGATGACAGCGCCCTAATCAAATAATTACAACACATTACACACATTTTCGGGAGCCTGTGATCAAAACGAGCGTTCATGGTCCTGTTTCGTTGTTGACTCATGTTAGTTAGCTTGTGAATTTACGTGAGAGAGACTTGTTTAACCAGCTCACCTCACCTGCTGTAATGCCAGCTAAGTCCCTCTTTATGGTTAGATTGTGTTAAAGGTCCTATATTGCGCAAAATTGACTCTTGTGAGCTTTAAGCCAGGTTATAATGATATTACTTCCTCAAAAACATGCCTGGAATTGTGTTTTGTTTCATTCACACATGAGTACATCTGGTTTAGTAGTCTGTTTACATCTCCAACACTCAAAATAGTCCACTTTGTCATGTCATGAAGCAGTAGTTTTCAGGTTAACAGCTACCTTATACTTTTTGTTTAGTAGATATTGGCAATTCCAGGTCTGAATTTATCCAGATGATTCCTGTGAAGATTTATGGAGTTTAAAAACACATTTGAGAGCTTAATGTATTACCACATGACATCACAAAGTGGAAGAGAGTGTTTTCAGTTCGAGAGAAGAACTCAGAGTCTGTGTGTTAAACATGTGAAACAAAGCATAGCTCCAGGTCTGTTTGTGATGAGGAAACAACATTATAACATAGAAAACAGCAAAATAAAGCTCAGATTAAGGTCCAACTTGGGTTAAGAGAGCTTCAGACAGAGCAGCACCTCCAGTTAGCTTCACCCCCTCAGGAAATGTTGAGGACATGAGCTGAATTGTTTGTATAGTCTCCCACGTAGGCCACTTGGAACCACATCCGCCAGCCACTTGGAGCCGCGTCAACAGGAAGAAATAAAGTACATTTGTTGTTCCTTCTGACAAACAGATAAATAAAGACACAGACAGTGGGGCCCTGTCTCTAGCCGCAGTGTTATCATATCGACTCGAATATAGATCTGAGTTCAGAGCTGAAAAGGGGCTTATGAGGTGAAGAATTGGAAAATCTATGCTCGCTTTTAGAAATGCCTGGTCTGAAATTAATTGAAGTTAAGGAATTTAAAGAAGTCACTTTTGAAAGGAAAAGAATAATTGTTATGTTAGATGTGTCCTAATATTTCCAGAATAACCTCAATTTCTGAGTTCATGTCTATAGCAGTGATTCCCAAAGTGGGGTGTGGAGCCCCCTGGAGGGCTTCATTAGCATTGCAGAGGGACCCCATAGGCTGTCCACACAACAAGCAAGAAAGAAAATTCAGTCATTTACTGCTTTATATTAGTATTAAGCCTAGCAGATAGTTCTATATTATAACATGTATTAGGTAAAAAAAAATACAATTTCTGATTAAATGTTCTATTTATTAGTTTGTACGACCATAACAAACACAAAAATCCTCAAATTTTACATTCTCATTGTTATTTATTTCTGTACGATCATGGACAATAAACTTTGTGCCTTCTTTATTATTATTGTTTGTTTGTACGACCATAAACAAAGATGTATCCCTGCGTGTATGTACTGTATGGCATAGATACGTATGTGTATGTATGTATGTATGCATTTGTATACTGTATTTTCCGCACTATTAGGCGCTCTGGATTATAAGGCGCACTGTCATAGAATGACAAACTTTTTTCACAAATAAACCGCACCGAAGTTTAAACGAAACACAACAGTTAGATGGGTCAGTCAGACTTTGTTTGGCACATTCATGGTGAGTCTTGGCTTTGTTCAGTTGTAGCGCATAGGGAGGGTGCTGTCTGAGACCGCTGGATTGTTGGCGTGTTCGCAGTGACTCAGTTGTTCAGTTGTTCAGTTGTGGCTAGAAGTGGCACATTGCACTCGCTTTTTCGGTTCGTTCCTCCGTTCCATTCCTCGTCCGCGCGGAGTGATGAGTGTGGCTGCGGGTGTGTTTCGCTGCGCAGTCACTGTCTGCTCCGTGTGTGTTAGCGTGCGCTTCGGGTGGTGCGGCTTTGTAGTTTACTGAAGTCGTGCTGGGACACCCAAGTGGATTTGTGTATAGGGTGCTCTGGATTGTGGGGCGCGCAATCGTTTTTTGATGGGGTTGAAGGCTTAAGAGCACACCCTATGGTGTGGAAAATAGGTTTGTGTGTATATTTATGAAAGGCATAGGCACAGGTAAGCACTCCAAAAGTAAAAAAATAAATAAAAATGTGTCAGCCATTTGATTATGTAAAATTTTGGTTTTTTTTTTTATTTTGTTTAACCTTACTCAAAAAAAAAAAAAGTAGTGTAAATAAGAGCGGCACGGTGCTGCTGACTTTGGGAATGGCTGCTTATGATAAAATTGAAATACTTGCATTCAGTTATACCACACATAAACATGCCAAATAGATATTTTTGGGGTCTATTGCCCTTTCAGCAATTCACAACTATTAGGCAAGATTATGCTTTGTCAATATACAACCAATCTTCTTAGCTACATGCATCATTATTAAAGCATGCACACCAAAAATCTGATTTAGAGATATTAGATTATTGTCGTGCTAGTTATAACTGATGTGAGTTATTTAATTTCTTTCATATTGTTCTTGTCTGTGCAGGTTTTCTTCTTGTGTTTATCTTTCTGCATTAGCAACAGTTTACCCAGGAGCCAAGATTCCTACAACACTGACTTAACAGCCCTCTGCAGTCTGACTTATAGGCTCCTCTTTTGACCTTGTTCGCCTTAATGTGTGCGCTGAGGTCAAGGGGGGCGGCTCAGTTGTCCCAGATAAAAGAGGAGGGGTCTCCATATTAATCATGATTTACCATTGTCCCTCTGGTGCTGTTTTATGTCTCATCACATCACCTCCAACATTATGCTCAGGTTCTGCTTCACGTCTCATAAATGCTCTGCCTTATTTGAACCATTAACGCCACTGGATTATTCTAACGTTAGGGCTCGAGGCTGGCTATTGTCCAGATCAGAGAGACATGTTTAACCTTTGTTCACCTATGGGACATCACATAAAGAAAACAGATTTAAATTTTATTGCGATATGAAACATGGCGGTTTTATGGGCTGGAGACAGTTAAGGCTGGTACTTTGTCAGTATAATCTATCAGATGGAGGAATAGGAGAAATGGATTTTTACAATGTGTGCTTAATATCCTGGCCTTTTTTGTTGTTGTTTTTTTACATGATAATACATAATCCGACTTTGGTTTAGCCACTGTCCGTGATTGACAGTCTGTCTGGTGGGTCAAAAGTACACCACTGTTCTACCAGAGATTGGTTTGATTTCAAATGAAGATAGTGAGGAATACGTTTTATACACTACATTATACTTCGTTTACATTCACACTTGGTCCTGGTTTGGGCCAAGTTTAAGTCCTAATGTAGATTTTGTTTAGTCATGTTCTAGACCTGGTTTAGTCTTGGTCTAGCCCATGTTTAGTTCCAGGCTCCAGTTCAGTTCAAGTTTTTCTGTGATTGTGCAAGTAGAGTGACAGTAGCTCAGTTAGAAGTGTTTGTTCTAGTGTGTGCTGTTGTTGTGTCCTTTGGCAAGACAGTTAACCCATCTTGCCCTCCCAGTGTCTGTGTACACTGGTGTGTGAATGGGTAAGTGGTCTGAGTGCCTTGAAGGTGGAAAAGCGCTATAGAAATATGAGACCATTTACCAAGTGTGAACGCACCATTATTTTCTCCTCTTACTTTGTGCTCTTTTTATACACTCTTTTCAGCCATACATATTTTTTGGAATGTGTTTTAGTCCAATTTCACAAAATATAATTATCTTAATATGCTTTGATAATCTACTAACTGAAGAAAAGTATTGGTGTGTTGCAAAAATGGCAAAGCAAAGTAATATTTCTATGTCATACAATAAGTCTTATCCGTAGATTACTTTTATGCTAAATGAAAAGTCTGAAATTCTAAATATTTAAATATAGCTGACAAATGATAATATTAAAACCAAACCATAAAGCAGAATTATACCCCAAAATGATTAAAAAAAAAAACAAAAAAAAAAAACATTAACTGCAATGAATAGACAATAACAATGCAACACTTACATAGTTAGTTTGTATCTATGACTCAGGAGTTCATAATCATAATACAGAGCAATAAACAAAATATTCCCATTAGTGCAAGAATCCATAACAAAACAAAACAAAAACGTCTGTCCGTCCGTCCTAATTACCCTGTGCTGGTGACTCTGGTTTGGGCGCTCACCTCATGCGGAGGTTGGAGCAGTCAGAGCCATCTTGACGGAGTATGACTGGAGCTATCAGACTGCCGACTCCACATTAATCTCACTTTGTCTGTCTGAGGCCTTGTGTATGTCTGAGCGGCAGGATGTGCCCGGCGCATACTCCACTGAACCTCAATGAGAATGATGATGACTCAGACTCTTGACACTGTTTGGAAAGTGAAAGGATTAACGGGGGCTTATGGCTTTTTAACGCACGTTTCAAAGAGAGGACTTATTTTGATAGAAATACAGGGAAATTATACAGACAATTGATTTATTACGTATGTTTTTCGGCCACACCCTTAGCATTAACATACATGGTAGCAAGTAAAACAGGAAGGGTGACAAAGTGGTATACACTCTTGTCTCGGTCAAAGAAGGTCCTGGATTTGTTTTCTTCCATGTCTATGTCTCTATCATCCAAACCATACAACCCCAGTTTTAGGAAAAAATATCAGCACAATCTACATAAAAGTAATAATAAATGTGCCTCTGGATAATTGGGTGTAAAAAGAGTGAGAATACAACTGGCCCAAGAACTATACCTTGAGGGTCTCCATATGCTGCATTGAGTTGAGGTGTGCTATTGAATAGCAACAAATCTGTGCAGTGGAGTCACAAATACACTACCAGTGAAAAGTTTGGACTCAACCTCTCATCCATTCAGTATTTTCTATATGTTTACTATTTTCTACATTTGACATTTACATATAGAAGACAGCAAATATATTAACAAGACATAGGGAATTATATAGCAAAGTTTAAAAAAAAAAGATAAGTAACTACTAAATATTTTTCGACAAAGCAAAAGGTGGGTAATTTGAAGATTTGGTTATTTTTAAAAAAAAAAAGGATTTAAAAAATCTTTAGTATTATTAATTTGAGTTATTTAACTTTTGCCTTTGCTACATAATTCCATATGTCTTACATATCTCATATATTTGATGTCTTCTGTATGTATATCAAATAAAGAAAGTATAGTAAATGAGTAGTAAACTTTTCATTGGTAGTGTATGTGTGACTCCACTGCTCATATTTGTTGCTTTTCGATAGTATACCTCAACTCACTGCAACATATGGAGTCCCTCAAGGGATAGTTCTTGGGCCAATTGTGTTCTCACTCTTTTTACTCCCAATCAAAAGTAGTAAATATGTAGGAAAAAACACATTGAATGAGATGATGTGTCTGAAGTTTTGTCAGGTAGTGTATAAACTGTTGAGTTTTAAGGACCCTTATTGCAAAATAGTCCATACTTTGAATTATCATATATCTTACATACTTACATACTGACCCCTTGTGGCTGGAGTCAGTTTTGCATTCATTAAAAAAACAGTAATGAGCTATTGTGGAAATATAATTAAAATCAGTCACATTTCATGCTTTGATGTGCTTCTTTTTCTAACCATCCACACTCTTTTGCAGGTGGTGAGCCGTGTGGCAGCTCAGCAAGGCTTCGATTTGGACCTGGGTTACCGGTTGCTAGCCGTTTGTGCAGCTAACCGAGACAAATTCACACCCAAGTCTGCAGGTAAGAGAGACGTCAACTTCCCTGCTATGCTAGCTGTTGCATGATCCCATTTACTACAGTTGATTTGCTCACAGTGGACAGTGCATCGCTTTCATTATTGACTTGTCTTGTTGAAAGAAACCATTCTACGCTTCCAGTCATGTTCCACACAGTATTTCAAATTGTGTTAGTCTAGTCGAGGCATGAATTTACTGTATAGAAGCTTCTTATTGTGTTTGCGGACAATTTTATGATGTAACTAAATGCTATTTTAATTTGGGAATAGCTTTGTTGCTTGATTTCAAATGGTTTCAGACCACTGCAACCGCCGTTATAACAGGGGCTACCCATTGAGAATTGTAATGTCAGATATTTTTAGTTCTTATGAAAAATTAATGTCCTATGGAAATGAGCTGGCCAGGTGGTAGTTCCGCACAGAACCTTGGGAGATACCAGGAGGAGTGGCGAATATTAAGCCATTCTTTTCATCCTTGGCTTCCTGCTTTCTTGGCGTTGTACAGTTATTTAGGAGAGATACTTGTCAATGTGCGGTGTACTAAGGAGGGGAAAGAGGGAGGGAGATAGATGGCTGTAAAGCTGTCACTGGTGTGCACTAGGCCTCTCACTCACTCTGACAAAGTCCTGACGGGGCCTTCCATTCAAGACACATAAGCTGTAGTCACTGGCTGAATCACTGATAGATTGGACTGATAAATTTGATGTCAGTTGTCCAATAAAGTTAACAGTTCTCTTGTTATGAAAATCTTCGTTATGATATAAAACATTAATTTCACTTTGTTTATGTTATTGTGCTGCATAAATGTCATCTTTATCACTTAGGTATGAAGTTGATATTGAGCAGAGATAGATAGATATATTGGATGGCCTTTTTAGCATATCTGCCTTTTGTTTTGGTTAGGGATGTAATGATATCCAAATCTCACGGTACAATATTTCCACAATATACATCTCACAGTACGGTATTAATTGCAATATTTTGTGGAGGCTATGCTACTCAAAATGCCATGACAAGTCTTAATCCAAAGAACTAAGACTTAAAAGTGCTTAGAACTGTTATTTCTTCATGTAGTTTGCACTAAAACAGAGCAAAGGATCATGGTCAATGTAGTTCCCTCTGTTTTTTTTTGAGCTATTGCTGCACCATAACAATGAATTTAAGCAAAGAAACTTGTGATTCGATATATTGTGATGGACCACGATATTATTGAGAGACTTTTGAAGATACGATATCATGATATTTTGGTTATTGTTACACTACTAGTTTTGGTCAATCTGCTGTCATATTAACACTTTATATTAATGCTTAAATACAAAGAAATAGCTGCACAAAATGTGACTACGTAGCTCTTTTTAAAGGTTTGTGGTAAAAAAACAGATCTTGAGGGAGTTTGTAGTCAATTTAAATTGCATTATTTGTGAAAAATAATTCAAATCTGACCTACATATCAGCCCAAAAATATCGTCAGAGCTTATCGGCTATTGATTGCCCTGTATTCTAAACAGTTAGTATCGGCATCGGCCATGGAGAAAACCCATATCTGTCGATCTCTAGTACTGAGCAAATATAATAAAAATATTCACAATATTTTGTTGTAGCTCTGTTGTTCGGCGAAGTATGTTTTAGTGTTCTTTCTTCGCCACATCTGTCCAAAAATGATGACATGTCTTTCAGTTGCATTGTTCTAATAAGCTGAGTTTTAGTCCTTTGGAAAGCATTACACTTTCAGTCTGATTCAAAGATGGATTATTTTATGTCTGGGTAGTTGTTAGTGTAGCCTCCTTGCATCAATAACCAAAAATATCCGGCCACCAGTTAATGCTTTACACATAATCACTCATACGGGGCAGTTGTTTAACAGTAAACCTTGCTCTTAATATTTTGCATTTCATAGCCCCCTTTTTTTTTTAAACTTCCTTTCTCCCTGGAAATTATGTTTTTTTTTCCAAATTCTCATTACTAAAACACTTCCATTTGATGTTCCAAAGCAGTAAAAAGCTCTGTAACTCCTCATACAAACGCTAATGTGTTTAAGTGCAAACACATTACACACAAAAATGCCTCTTTTTCTTGCTGAGTCTCTCCAATTCTGTCAAATGAACATCTTGAGAAGGCAAATATCCTCTTTCAGCACCGGTGGAAGCATCTTGTAGAGAGCTGTATAAGTGGGTAGACTGCGTGGCGTATTGATTGCATTGCATTTCTTCTCTCAGTCTGTGTTCCTGTGTAATGTGATTGTTGTCCAGGCATGGCTCGGACTGACCATGATGCTTCTGGGATATAATAGAAGTGGGCACGAGGTTTCAGGAAAGGGCTGTTTATGCACGCTGGATAAATGGGAACTGCAGTGTAATTACATGGAAAGAGGGGGGAAGATATTCTATGACGCGCACAACATCAGATGAGTCGGGCTGCCAGATGTGACTCCGGGTGGGCTTTATGGACGCGGCAGCCATCTTACCTCCAGCACAGGGATGAGTGTCTGGGAGAGTAGACCAGAGGGCGACAGTGGATGAATAGGCACTGTACACACACTTCTAATGCAGTACAAGGGAGGATTTTATATGAAATAGACGAGTCAAAGTGTAGTGGTCTTAGTTTAAAAGTGATCTGGAGAGATATGAGAATTTTAATCCACAAAGTAAATGGAGGTGCCACAATGTAGTTTCAGTTTGGCCTATTAGACCCCCACAAGTGCAATTCTGAAAGCACTTAAAGCAGCACTTTTAATACATGTTATCAAAGGAAGAGAGAAAATAGAAATTGAGAACAGTTTTGTACACATGTAGTATGGATGGTGTGGCAGATAACAGATCCCAAAAAGATACTAGATATATAAAAATACATATTATGCATTATTCAGGTATGTAGTATTAAAACTGTAACATGCCTAAATATTAAAACAATATTTTGATCATTGTAAATCATAATTTTATAATCGTAAAACTTAGAAGTCAGTGCTTAGTCTTCATATTGACTGCACATTTTTATTTACATGCTTTTTGAATAGTCACAAGGTTGTACACAGCAGTGGGCAGACACAGGGGGTAGGTGAAAACTGACATTTTCTGAGCATTCAAGCGTCAAATGCAAGACAATGCAGGATTACGCAACCATGTGTGAATCACTTGCAAGGCAACTCTGAGTGAATGATGAGCAGACATTATAAAATGGTTATAAGTTGATTTTCCATAATACATCCCTTTTAACACTGTTGAGTCTATTATTATTAAAAGACAGCCCATAAAAGGCAGTAGTAATTGCATTATAATTGACTTGAACTACTACATAAAAACAATAGGCACTGAAGACCATATCCAATCTCTCATGTTTTCATTTTTACTTTCTTTATGGCCGAGTTGATTGAGTATCTAATTGTGCGTGTGCTGCAGTATCCACCACAGTCGCTGTGGCGACAGGGGGCTGAGCTGACACCGGAGAGCCCAGCGCAGGAGCTCGAGTATGGGATGCTCTCTCCCAGGCCTCCAGGGAGCAGCCCCACTGTTAAGACCAGGATCGATCACGCTGACACTGCCATTCTGAGCAGTTAGCACACGCATTGATAAAACTGCAGCTTTTCACATATATGGGTTTAGTATGGTGACATTTACCAGCAGAACCGTATGTACCATATTTTAGTGATGAATAATGCCGGATGGGACTTGTTGTACCCACCACAACTCAAAAAAAGTTCAAGTTAACAACATACACTGTAACAATAATGGTCCCATAGTCCATAATAGAACAAAGCAACACCTAAAAGTTTATCAAAGGATCCATGCCATAAGTACAAGTAACAGGAAAGTACTAAACCTACTACGTTCTGCTGGCCTAGGAATGCTTTGGGTCCCACTGGAAGAGCTGGAGGAAGTGTCTGGGTTGAGGGAAGTCTGTGAGCGTCGGCTTTGACTGGAAAAACGGATAGATGGATTCAAAAACTACTTAGTCAGAATGACATTAGAATCACATTCAGAACACAGCAAGACTCAAGATGCCCAGAAAATGTCAAAAAAAAAATTATATTGACATTGCTATAATTGGACATGTCGTAGTCAAACGCGTTAAGTCCATTATCCATGGATTTTAGTCACATCTTATTTTATGTATTTTGCTTTTGAATTGTTAATTGCTATGGCGACCGTCCAAACCCTCCTCACTCTGAAACCCACGGACACCCTTAATTACCCCCCAGTCTCTGATCCGGAGCCAGGCGGTTGATGTCCAGCTCGGTGCTCGGTCCTCTCCCGACAGCAGGCAGGAGCTGATGAGCTGTCTGGAGACTGTGACCTGCTCTGTGGCCTGGGGGATTAGCGTGCGCCTCTAATCTAGAGTCACTCACTGAAGAGACTTACCTGCTGTTAGCCAGCTCAGATAGCATTAGCTCTATTAACACTGTATAGCTCGACCGCCGCCAACATCATTTCAAACAGGGAAGGTTGATTTGGGGAATAAGTGCACATTTTCTGGCCACGATTATTGCCATTATTGTTTTGTTTGAGGGAGTCTCATTTTCAGAACATTATTATGGAGAGGCCAAAACGAAAGGGATCCAGTTTGATACAAAAACAGCCCAAAGATGTGAAATGATTTGTTCTCTGCAGAGGACTTTATATTACCTGAGTAAGTGTTGTCTTTGCCTTTAGCGTATAGTGAGTCATGTGTCATCTCATTCTAGTGTCTATATAATAATAATAATAATAATACATAACACTTGTATAACGCTTTTCAAGATACTCAAAGACGCTTTACATTGGAAGACAAACAACGACAAACAAGAGAAAAAGACAGTTAATGGAAGTTTTTTTTAATGGATTTTTTGAAACATGGGGAGTGTGGATGATATATAGTTAAAGAGCCCATATTATGCTATTTCTGATTTATGTTATGATGTTGTTTCCTCATCACAAAAGTAGGTGTTCTTTTCTCAAACTGAAAGAACTCTCTTCCACCTTGTGATGTCATGTAGCAATGCAGGAAGTGCTCCACTATGCTTTTAAACTCC